CAGAGAGTAAAAGATAGAAGAAGATAATATTTGTGTTTTTGATTAGTTTTTCCCAATGGTCATAAGACCTACATATATGTAAGAGAGTAAACCACCGGTTTAACAAGCCTAGACCGGTTTGCATAATTGCAAGTCATTGAACCAGACATAATGTAAAGAAGAAGATAAGCCAGCGCATTGATGGATTTTCTTTAACAATAATGTCTTSTTTAGTGTACTCATTTGAAACTCTTTTCACTTCTTCTGTTTTTCTTGAAGAAATTAAATATTTGTTAAAGTGTATATTTTTATAGTTGGTGATCTATTTACTCATTTTTTCGACACCATTTCCAGCATTTTGACCCCTTGAAACTAAGTCTCTCTGTTTAAATTTGTAAATTAGTAGTGTTTGAATTTGTTTCTATGATGAAACTTTGATTCCAATATTCAACTCGTCTAGATCAAGTATGCAATATTTCTTATGATATTAGTCCAAAGTTTTTGTTAATGAATACATTAAAATAATATTAGTAATGTGCAAGAGTAGTTCACTTCACACTCTTGATGTAACTTATAAAACTTTGGTTTGCTAAAGAGGCACAATTACGTGGGGTCTTTCCTATCTAAAACATTTTGGTTTCCAAATGGCTATCGGTGACTAATACAATATTATTTTCACATAAATTAGATTGTACCATTTTAGATTTTTCTTTTCTTATGATCGTAGTTCAGTTTGTTCATTGACTTGATTAAATTAATATTAACTATATTTTCTTTATCTCACATTCTTTTAATATGAAAACAAAACAAGAAAATATTCAAAAAACGTCATTTTTAAAATTTTAATTTCCAAAAATACTATTTTTTCTTCGTCAATTACAGAACATAACAAATTCTAGATCTGAGTGAATCAAGCTCACGAAGAAAAGATTACTACTGTCTTACGAAGAAAATATTTGTATCACTGCAGATCTGAGTCATAGATACTTTGGACGCGTTGGAAAGGATTTTGAGTTAGCAGCTCAAAGCATGAAACTGCAAGCATTTGCTACTCACTTAAGGTTAGGAAAACAACAACACCTTAGCATATTAGATTGCATCATGAGTCTTAATGTTTTAAACCATTGTGTAGGTGTCGTTCAACTGGTAAGCATAAACATTATAAATCACTTTAAATCTTAGATAATGATAATTAGAAAATCACATAGTGTTTCTATGTTTTGCATAAACGAATGATTACGGAATAGGAAGACAAAAAGAAAGAAGAGAAACATAAAAACAATGAGGTGGTTAGAAGAACAAGTGGGAGGAGGAGGAAAGAAATTTAAATAAATAAAAAAACGTTTGATATGGAAACAGTCTTCAAGTGCAGTTTTAGATGCTCGCGAAAGAAGCCCAAATTCAAGTCTAATTACAGATACTAAACTATAGTTTTAAAAAAGAAGCAAATATAGAGAAAGGGATAACGATTACCCCTTGACATCATAGCTTGCAAAAGCTATGACTAGCCCAACTTCTCACCATTCTGAAACGGGAAAAAAATAAATTCTCTTAGAACATTTCAAAGGACAAGGCAATGATTATAGACCTTTAATCACTCATTTAAAAACAAACCACAGTTTTAAGTTCACTATTCAAATATAGAAAGAGCAAATTTCAGCACTATAAATTGGCTCCAATAGAGGTTGGTTTACTTTATTAACTCATTCAACATCATATCAACCGGAAAGAATTAAAAAATAAGTTTCAAAAAAAAAAAATTGAGAAAAATACTCTAAAGGATTATTTTGTTGTTTAATACATGACTAGGTTAGTAGTACTTGTGCTTTTGCACGGGTTTAATTGTAACCAATAAATTAATGTAATAATTCTTTTAATTTATTTAGATGTAGATGTGTTAAAAAAAATTAGTATCATTTGGTTTTTAAAATGATGGGAT